AGGGAAGAAATGTGGAGTCATTGCTAATGGGTACAGTATTTCTCGTTGGGTGACAAAAATATTCTAAAATTGACTGTGGTGATGGTGGTACAATGTGAATACACTAGAAGCCATTGTATATGCCTTAACTGATGAGTTGTTTGGTATGTGAATTGTATCTCAACAAAGCTGTTAGAGGGAAGAGGAAGAGTAAGAGAGGAAAAGGAAAAAGAAGAATCATCCAGGCTTTGGAAAGCTCAATGGCTGAGTCGCTCCAAAACATCTCAGGTTCATTACTACTAGGAAATGATATAGTCCAGTGATTACTGTGTGGGCTCTGGGATAAAATAAATGATTTGGACTCAAATAGGCTTCAGTATCATTCAATTACTCCTTACCAAGTGACTCCTGGAATTTGGGTAGATTTTTCTGAGATATCTCCTGTGTGATGGTTCTCACTTCAGTGTGCATCAGATTACCCGGGGAGCTGGTTGAAACACAGATTGCTGGTTCCCACCCCAGAGTGTCTGATTCATTAGGTCTGCAGTGGGGCCAGAGAATTTACATTTCTAACAAGTTCCCAGGTGCCGCTGATGCCACACATTCTAGAACCACACTTTGAAAGCTGCTGATCTCATACTTAGTTCTTGAAAGTCCTCAGATTACTGAGCACATGTCAATAACAGCAGAAATCCATAGTGCAAATTAGTTGTGTGTGTGTGTTCATATAAATAACCCCATAAATATTTTATGTGGAAATTCGTTCTAAGTGCTGATTTATAGTTAGTGACTGCAGTTTTGTTGAAATAAGGAAAGGAATCACAGAATGGAGTCAAAAGACCTGAAGGTCATAACCTCCCAGCTCTAGCAATCTGAGCCAAAATGTTCCCTAGCCAGTTTCCTCATCTGTGAAAAGTGAACCCCAATAAGGCCTCACTAATATATGTTATAAGGTTGTGAGAAAGGTAATAGGATTCCCTAGTTGAAAATGCATGGTAAAGTGCACATGTGTTAAACAGGTTCCTAACGTCCACTCAGGAAAACCATTCTCTGTGAGGCCTCTAGCAACTCGCTCAAAGCCCTCAGCAGTTTCTGGAATCCCCTGAGCCATTGCATCAGTTGGGATGCTTTCAGCTCTAAGTAACAGGAATCTACACCCAGACTGGCCTAAACTATCAAGATGTTTACTTCTGCACATTGCAGGGAGTCCAGCCATGGTATCTCTAAGCTGTAAGACAGGAGAGGTCTGCCCAGAACAGGGAACAGGCAGGGCCTGGAAATGGTTGGGAAATGAATGTACAAAAAAGATAAGTGCTTCAATGACTTACATTGTCTCTGGGAGCTCCTTAAGGTTTAAGATTACTCATACGTCATACCCAGAATGCAGGATAAAACTCCTGAGCATCAGGATGCTAGAACTTAAAACCTCTAGGGAAAAGGGATGGAGGACAACCAATCAATCAACCAGTCAATCTATCAATCAATCAATCCTCTATAGTAGTGGTTCTCAATGTTGGCTGTATGTAAGAATCATACAGAAAGGTTTTAAAGTTTTAAGTTTTACTGTTGTCTGGGCCCTGATCAAAAGCTTCTGGTCTGGAGGGTTGGGGAGGAGGCTCAGACCTTGGTGTTTTTCAAAAGCTCCCCAGGTTATTCTTGCCTGGTAATTTTTGACAGGGCTGAGAATGAGTGCTCTAGCATATTAAAAATCAAAGTGGTCACCCTAAGCTTGGAGGACACCAGTTGTCAGCTGTGGGGAGTTACTTAGGGATAAAGTGGTAGGAGAAGATGATGCTAAAAAGAAAACGGAGGCCCATTTACCTGTTCAGCCCAGAGCCTCTTCCCCTCCCTTTAGTAACCATAATCTCAAAGCAAACTGCATGCCCAAAACACACGCACGCACGCACACATGCACATACACACACACACACGTCTGCTTTCTTCCCATGTGGGACGTTCTTTCTCCTTCAAGGTGATCTTGATTAATCTAGCTTGAATGCCATCTGGTAAATGTGCTATAGGTTGGACAAGGCGTGAGATTTATAGTGTGATTTCCTTTTCCCTAGCTCCACATTCCTTTAGAAAAGTGGTTCTTAAACTTGATTTGAATAAGAATCACCTGGAAAAAAAATTTTTTTAACTGTAGGTACTTGGGCACCCCCTGTGAGGTTATGGTTTAATAGGTTCTGGAGTGGAGCCCAGGAATCTGCATTTTAACAAGCTTCACAGGGGCCTAAGAGATAATTGGTCTACAACCACAATATAAAGAAACTTTTTAAAGGACAACCCTGATGAAAAATGAGAAATACTATGCACTTAGGAGACACCCAAAGGGCTCAAAAGATCTAAACAGCTAAATCACCAGAGAAGACATATGGTGGCTGATAAACACATGAAAAAAATGTTCAAAATCATTAGTCACTAGAGAAATGCAAATCAAAAGCTCACTGAAATACCACTAGAAACCTATTACCCTATTAAAATGGTAAAATAAAGAAAGAAATGGTAATTTTCTGGTAGGGATGCACAATGGCTCAGCCATTTTAGAATTCAGGTAGTTTCTTATAAATTTAAACAGACGCTTACCTTGTGGTCCAGCAATTCCACTCCTAGGTATTTGCCCAAATGAAATAAAAATCTGTTCACACAGAAAAAACCTGCACATGGATGTTTATAGCAGCTTTTTTTCCACAATTACCAAAACCTGACAAAACAACAACAACAACAACAACAACAACAAAAACGATTGTCTTCCCAACCGACAGAATGGGAGAAGATATTTGCAAATGACATATCAGATAAAGGGCTAGTATCCAAAATCTATAAAGAACTCATCAAACTCAACACCCAAAGAACAAAAAATCCAATCAAGAAATGGGCAGAAGACATGAACAGACATTTTTCCAAAGAAGACATCCAAATGGCCAACAGACACATGAAAAAGTGCTCAATATCGCTCAGCATCAGGGAAATCCAAATCAAAACCTCAATGAGATACCACCTCACACCAGTCAGAATGGCTAAAATTAACAAGTCAGGAAACAACACATGTTGGCGGGGATGTGGAGAAAGGGGAACCCTCCTACACTGTTGGTGGGAATGCAAGCTGGTGCAGCCACTCTGGAAAACAGTATGGAGGTTCCTCAAAAAGTTGAAAATAGAGCTACCGTATGATCCAGCAATTGCACTACTGGGTATTTACCCCAAAGATACAAAAGTAGGGATCCGAAAGGGTACGTGCACCCCGATGTTTATAGCAGCAATGTCCACAATAACCAAACTGTGGAAAGAGCCAAGATGTCCATCGACAGATGAATGGATAAAGAAGAGGTGGTATATATATACAATGGAATATTATGTAGCCATCAAAAGGAATGAGATCTTGCCATTTGCAATGACATGGATGGAACTGGAGGGTATTATGTTGAGCGAAATAAGTCAAACAGAGAAAGACATGTATCATATGACCTCACTGATATGAGGAATTCTTAATCACAGGAAACAAACTGAGGGTTGCTGGAGTGGGGGGTGGGGTGGGAGGGATGGGGTGACTGGGTGATAGACACTGGGGAGGGTATGTGCTCTGGTAAGCGCTGTGAATTGTGCAAGACTGTTGAATCTCAGATCTGTACCTCTGAAACAAATAATGCAATATATGTTAAGAAAAAAAAAAGAAGAAGAAGAATGTAGCAGGAGGGGAAGAATGAAGCGGGGGAAATCAGAGGGGTAGACGAACCATGAGAGACGATGGACTCTGAAAAACAAACTGAGGGTTCTAGAGGGGAGGGGGGTGGGAGGATGGGTTAACCTGGTGATGGGTATTGAGGAGGGCACATTTTGTATGGAGCACTGGGTGTTATGCAAAAACAATGAATCATGGAACACTACATCTAAAACTAATGATGTAATGTATGGGGATTAACATAAGAATGAAAAAAAAAACGATTGTCTTTCAACTGGTAAATTTATAAACAACTTATAGCACCGCCGTATCATAGAACACCACTCAGCGGGGACTAATCTTAAAAGGGAAAGGAGTCGGACACAAAAGACTACTTACGTACGGTTGCATTTACTTGACATTCTGGAAATAGAAAGCTATAGTGACAGAGAGTAGATCAGGGTTTACCAGGAACAAGGTGCTGGGGAAGATTCGACTACCAAGGAATATAAATGGGATTTGGGGGGGTTGATGGACCTGTTCTGTGTCTCAGCTACGGTTCTGGTTAAATGACTGTATGCTAAATATTTTAAAAGATGACTTTTATTATCTGTACAGTATACTTCAATAAAAAGAAAACCCCTCACGTGGAGGAAAAAACCACTGAAGGATGAATTCAGATTATTCAGATAACTCATTACACACTTAAGAGGAGAGCACAGCTTGTAGAGTAGCTGGGTCCAATTTCCGCAGCTTAGGAGGATGCTCAAGTGCAGGGATGGTGCCTAACTTCCCTTCCCATGGGCCCACAGCACTGCCACGTGTGACTTAATAATTCACAGAACAGCCTTGCAAACCGGCACACCGTATATACACTCACAGTCGAAAGACAGTGGGCTGAGAACTTAAACCAGGCATCGAGCCCTGCAGAAATCTTAAGGACTCTATCCCTTCATCCTATTATTTTGGTGTTTTGGAATCACTCTGGGTATCTGTGGGGTCCTGGAAGGCTAGTTTGGACAAAAAAGTGCAGGGGCTTGCTGGCGGAGGGGAGCAGAGAGAGGGAAGGCCCTGAGAGACGAGGGGCAGACACGCGGTCCTCTCCGGTGAAGGCTTCTAAGGGCTGTGAAGCCGTTTGCTTTTATAATCTATGCGCGGAATTATTCTTTCTCCAGGGAATTTCTTTCATTTGTATGTTCCTCACATTTTCCTAGAATTCCACCTTAAAACGAGCTGGATGGACTTGTGGCCAGGATCTCCACGCCGAAAAGTTCTGCTTGAACGATGACACACTGCAGTTGGAGCTTGCTCACCCACATCTGGAAGCCACATGTCAGCGGCAGCTGTACAAAACGGTCAGCCCAGCGGCCCTAGGGTGACAGTGTTTGCCAGAAGCCCAGCAGCATGGACCGTGCTCTGCTCTGGGTGCTTCTGCCGCTGGTCACCGTGGCCTGGGGCCAGTACGGAGACTACGGGTATCCTTACCAGCAGTACCACGACTACAGTGATGACGGGTGGGTGAATCTGAACCGGCAGGGCTTCAGCTACCAGTGTCCCCATGGGCAGGTGGTGGTGGCCGTGAGGAGCATCTTCAACAAGAATGAAGGCTCGGACAGACAGTGGAATTACGCTTGCATGCCCACGCCACAGAACCTCGGGGAGCCCACGGAGTGCTGGTGGGAGGAAATCAACAGAGCTGGAATGGAGTGGTAAGGGCAGCCTGCACTCTTGGATGGGGGGCACGGCCATGACGGCACATTTGTCCCCTGGGGGCCGCTTGACCCCAGCCTCCAGAGATGGGGCCAGGAACTCATTCTCGGGGCGGCTGGGGCAGGGCTGGCTGCTCAGCAGCCTACATGACAGGACAGAAACCCAGGATGGGGAGTGCCCACGGCAGATGGGCTCCTCTGTGGTTCCGTTCCTTCCAGAGGCAGCCCTCCTCTCAATTTCGTCCAGGAACTACCGTGGGTCTGCGAAATGTTTACTAGCCCGCAAAAAGATCAGTACAGGAATTGAGGGTTTTTAAGACACTTTACAGTGTTGTGATGTCCAAATGGCATTTTCGTTTTGTAGTAATTTATTTTTACTATTTTGCAAAGGTATTGGTCCACAAGAGTTTGGGGACAATAAATGACTGGACCCTCACCGTGGACAGTTTGAGAAATGCAGATTTAAAACAACTGAATGGGGGAGAGGGGACAAAGAAATTTAGGCAAGGAGAAGGGAAATGAAATACCTCTCTACTGCCCTGCTAAAAGGTGCTCTCTTGGTTATAGGAACTGAGGTCCTTCTCTCTGTCTGAATTTAAAGTAGGTTTCACTGCCAGAAAATAGTTTACTGAAGACTTTTAGGGAGAAGTGCTGTTCTGGCCTGACTGGGCTCTGCCACAGTCAATGGCATGGAAATGGTCCAAGCTGGTGCTTGGCTGTGGGGTGTGACAGTCCCAGCCCCAGACCTCGGTCAGGATCCCATCCCAGTACTACTGCCTGTGAGGCTGGCTATTCATGCAGACTGGATGGGAAGGCAGGACCCCTGGGGGGTGGGATGGGGGACGTGGGCTCTGGGGGAGGCAGGTCCAGTGAGGAGGAAGCCCCGCTGCCGCTGGGTTTTCTGGAGAGCAGGACTCTGTGAGGGTTCCAGCAGCGCATGGTGGAGAGTGGGTTGGGGTGGTCAAACTCTGGGGGACCGCACAATCAGCAGACTGAACCATGATGAGACCCCGGGAGGGAAAGACACTGACGCGTGTGTGCAGGAACCGGGCAAGAGAGGGGACTTCTGAGTAGTCAAAACAACTGCCATTTATTGAGTGTTTATCCTGAGGTAGCACCATGCTGATGCTTTATATGGATTATCTCATTAATGCTCAAAACAAATCTATAAGTCATTTTATAGGTAGACAAATTGTGGTCTAGAGACCCAAATGTTTCCTCAGCCCAAAAGTGGTAAAGGCAGGATTTGGATCTAGTGAGTCTTAACTCCAAATTGTATGTCCTTGGCCACAGTGATGAGCTTCTCGAGAGCCTGCTGCCCCCGCCTGATGTGGGCCATTGGCCCAGCCAGGGGCCGGGACTGGACTCAGGGAAGTGGTTCATCCTGGGAGGATGGGATCTGCAAGGTCATAGTGGAAGCCGAGCCCGGGAGGTTTGGGGACCAGCTTGGTTACTGTGGCTGAGGAGGGGCTCAGCTTGTGGAAGGAATGGGGAGTGGGTCAAATAAGCAGCTGCAGGTGGGGCCCTTTACTGGGCCTCCCTTCTCTACCCCACTGCCTCTGGTGAGCAGATTTAATTATTCAAAACTCCTTCTGAAAGGTGACCAACTCAGAGTCCAGGCTTACCTCAAAGATCCCCTTAGCCAGGCCCATTGCCTGGCATGGAGCACAGCACCACCTTAGTCCATCCATCTAGGGGGCCGTTATATGGGCGGGGCCCCTTTCTAATGCCCCTTTTTTGAGCCATATAGTAAAACAGCGCTCAGAGATGATTTCTTAACCCCAAAGGAAGAGCCTTGGGCTTGGAGTCAGAAGGCCTGGATTCGGACCCAGCTTCTAAAGGCCACGTGACCTTGCCCCAGGGATTCAACTCTCTAGGCTCCTACCTCATCTGGAAAATGAGTGGTCACACTACGTGATCTCAGAAGAATCCACAACTCCAATACCGCATGCTCTGTTTGGCCTTGAAAATGCATTTGGATTTTTCTTGCATTCTGTTGATCCTTGTGTTTATCCCTGCTAGGGAGAGAAGGCAAATGATGTTTAGTTTTAAACTTGCCAACTTGCATCTGGTTTGTCATTAACTCCCAGACTGTTTGAAGCAAAGCAAAAGAGGAAGGGAGTGGACATGAGATGGTTTTTTTTTTTGGCCAATGGGAGTCCAATAAGAGGCTGACGGGTAAGATCACTCTTCCACCCTCTTCCTCCACATTTTGGGCTGTGCTGACTCAAACGATTTTCCTTCTCCCTTTCCACCCCCTGTTGCCTCCTACTCTGCTAATCACAGAGTGAAAAATGCACAAACATGAAAAACAGTTCCTTTATGGTAAAACTCAACTGCCCCAGGTCTGATACCAATTACCCCAGAAGCACTTTTTTAGATGATTATTGCTTTGAGTTTAGACTTCAGTCCCAGTGAAAAATCTGGAAGGAAAGAATTTGCTCATAGGCTGAGTGAGGGGCAGTTACACTTCCCATGGGCTGCAAGCTTGTAATCTGCTCTGGGGGAAGAGCTGTGGACGGTTTTGTGAATTTGGCTGCCTTGTATAAGTGAATCAGCTTGCAGGTTTATTTTAAGAGGGAGGAGGAGTCTAAAACACAGATTTGACAACGATATATAGGACCTACTAAAGACACAGGCTAACTGAAGCACAGATTTAAAAGGTGCTCCATGGGGTGCCTGGGTGGCTCAGTCTGTTAAGCGTCGGACTCTTGGCTTCAGCTCAGGCCATGATCTCGGGGTGCTGCAATCGAGCCCCGCATCGGGCTCTGCACTCAGCACGGAGTCTGCTTCAGATTCTCTCCCTCTCCCTCCTGCTCACTCTCTCTCAAATAAAGAAATAAAATCTTTTAAAATAAATCAATAAAATAAAAGGTGTTCCAAGCATGGGCTGGGTGGCTCATAACACTGCTGTTCGCTATAGTTTCTCTGTAGAAAGCCACCTCTTCAGGGGCCATATTCTGGAGTGTGCAAGCCGGCTCCCCTATTAATGGCCACCAGGAGGCTTTCCCTGAGTCCCAAGAGTGGCACTTTGCCATTTCAGGGCATGCCTCGGTTGTTCTCAGGGAATCTCTAACTCGACGTGGCACAGGCTAGAGGACATGTGAGTCCTGTGTGGAGCAAAATGGAAGCTGGAATTTGCTAGTGAGGCTGAGCTGTCATGTGGTAGACGGAGCTCTGGTCTTAGAACCAGGAAATCTCGATTCACAGCTCCTGTTTCTATCATCTCTTAGCCCTGTGGTCCCAAGCATTTGATTCCTCATTCCGGAAAAAAAGGAGGGTGCGGCACCCGCCTCACAATAGGGGGTGTCACTGTGTGCGTGCAGGAGAAATGTATAGAGGCGGGACTCTAAATCTCAATGTAAAGAAATGCCTGGCACATCACAGGCGGTCAATAAAGGTTTAATGAATCTGGAACTTGATGAGGCTGGTTTTGGGGCAAGCCAGATTTACATGGAGCCTGAATTCAAAAGAACAGCATTCTGTTTGTTGGCACCTGCTTCCCCCGTCCCCCCAGCCCCCGGGGAGGGCCCTGGGTTTCAAAGGATCTCAGGAAGGTGTTTTTAAATGGCAGCTTCTCTCACAGCTGACAATTTAAATTTATGAATTCACCAAAGGCCAGTCATGTGACGGAGAAGAGGAGAAAGGAAAACTGTCCCAAGACCTGTGTTAGCATTAAGGTCAATCTGAAGCTGAGAATAGAGGGCAGAAACTCAGTTTGCCATAATCTGACTCTACTGGAGAGCAGGACTCTGTGTCGTACAGAGCAATGCCCCTGATTCATGGTTCTAAGCACTCAGGACACACAGAGCCACCCCTCCTCTGAGAGTCTTTTTCAGACCACCTTGTCTGAACCCAAGTTTCCCACCCTCTACCCCCCAACCTGCTTTATGTTTGCTGTGGTGCACCTGTCATTAGCTGATTTGTATTTGTACAGTGTTTGTCTCCTTCAAAACAGGCTTAACAAATGTAGGGACTTTGTCTTATTTGACGCTGCATAGGATATTCTCCAGGGCCTAGAATAATGTCGGTGCATAGTAGGACCACTAAATATGTATGCAAGACTAAATCAGACTAGTGCGTGCTTTGGGTAATTCAAATCCCAGTCAGTGTTCCACCCCCCACCACACTCAACAAAGAAGCCTGCAGATTTTCCAGCAGGGGAAACCATTTTGTTCATATTTTTGGTTTTCAGGATCCCATTACCTATAATATAGGGCCCAGCTTTATTGTTCACCTCTCATTTTGGCTAGCTGCATTTGCTGCCCTGCAGGATGGTCTTCTGAGACTTCCTGAAGTTCTCTATAACATGCACAGAGGATGTTGGACACACTTACCTCAGGATGAATTCTTTTTTTTTTTTTAAGATTTTATTTATTTGAGAGAGAGAACGAGATAGAGAGAGAGCACGAGAGAGGGGAGGGTCAGAGAGAGAGGCAGACTCCCCCATGAGCAGGGAGCCCAACGCGGGACTCGATCCCGGGACTCCAGGATCATGACCTGAGCCGAAGGCAGTCGCCCAACCAACTGAGCCACCCAGGCGCCCAGGATGAATTCTTAATTAGATTTCCATCCTACTATCCCCCAAATCTTACTGTCCCAATAATTTCAAAAATGCAATAGTGAGCTCTTTATCTCAAAAGCCACTTGGGCCAAATGCCACATGGTATTCTGGTTTGGATCTTGGAACAAAAAAAGGTCATTAGTGAGAAAACATGAAATCCAAACAAAGTCTGGAGTTAAGGGTTGTACCAGTGATAATTCCTTAGGGTTGATCAAGGAACCAGAGTTCTGAAAGATAAGATCAGGGAAACAACTCTTCTGTAAATCTAAAATCACTTCAAACTAAAAAGATTTTTAAAAGTAAGGATGCCGGCTAGTAGAGTACATACTGGTAGTTTAAAAGGCAAACAGCAACAGAATCAAAGAAGCTTAGCGCCAGGAGGGGCCTGGAAAAAAATCCATAACAATGTCCTTGCATCGTAGATGAGGAATGAAGG